GTCCGCAGACGACGCTCTATCTCTGTGCGTCACGGTGGCTCGGTGGCTCTCCCTCTGTGCGGCGCGCTCTTGCTCTCGCCCTCGCCCTCGGTCTCACGTCATCTGATACAGGCAGCCTCTTATACCTGGTCTACTGATCCAAAACACCTGCGCAAAAAAAAGGAAAACCGAAGGGCACACACACACACACACACACACACACACACACACACACACACACACACACACACACACACACAACCCCGCCTACAAGGCCCAGGGCCGTAACAAGGAGCAAGCTTCTCCTGTATCTTTTACTCTGTCAAGTTGTCTCAAACAATTTTACACACTACAAAAGTCACTTTTCCCCATTGCTGTCATTGGAAGGAATATAAACACTTGACTCATATGGCGAATGATCCCCCTTACTTCCGGTGAATGCATGAAAACCCCATGTTCACATGCGTTATGACTAAAATGTGCAAAAGGTCAATTGTTTCACCTTTTACTGACCCTTGTTTTTTTACAGTTAAACTCATAATCTAGTCTTTGTAATTTAAAAAACTTCAAAGTGTGAGTTTAATTCATGCATGGTGTTCACATTGTCTTGGTTTTATTCAGACATTCAATTGTCATTTGCACAGCAAAAATGCCAGTGTTAATTTAACACCCACAGTGTTAATTTCAACACCAACAAAGTATCTATATGTGTCCACACATGCTGGTGTTAAAATAACATTTGTGAAAGTGTTAAATTTTAACACCCATTGTTTTGTTAATTAAACACCAACCAGTGTTTAATATTCAACAATTCTTGGTGTCACATTAACATAAAAATACTGTTAGTGTTAAAATATAGTGTTAAATGTAACACCAGTCAGTGTTTAATACTCAACAATACTGGGTGTCAAATTAACATTTCAACAGTGTTGAAAATATCATCAGTATTATTATCAATATTAAAAGAAATTCTGGCGTTAAAACATTAACAGACATCACAAGGTGACAATACACCATATATTTGAGAGTGTAAATTCAACACTCAAGGTTAATATCAAACTCTTTATAGTGTTGCATTAATACTACTCAGTTGTTAGTAGAAAAATATAAAGGAGTCACCCTTATTTACACTCCAGGAAGTACCTCTCACTCTTGGTGTCAATTTTTGGCCAATAACATAAACTTAAAGTTGAACGACTTGATAAAACAAACAAGAACAACTAATTTTTACTCTCATGAACGTCTTTAATGGTCATAAATACGCAAACACATCATTTCTGCAAGATTTCTGACCAAGGAATGCTGGGTAACTGGTCTGTCTTACAATGTGGAAGAGGGCGGGGCTTTTCAGAATACTTCTTTCAACACTGTATGGTGTTATATAACAACAGTGTTAAGTGTTGTATAAAACTTAACAGTGGGTGGAGCTTATTTAACACTGTCCAGTGTTGAGACAACACTGAGGAAATCAACACTGTGAATTAACACCAACACTGGGTGTCAGTTTACTCAGAAAGTGTTAAAATAACACTAGGGGGTGTTAAATCAACACCCAAAAGTTTAACACTGAAATTTTAACACTCCTGTTTTTGCTGTGCTTAAAATACCGTATCACAGGGTATATCACATTATATTTGATTTACATGATCACACAAACTTACAATGTTCAACTCAACAGTTATGGCAAAGTTGAATTTATGTTTTCTCTTTGATCTTAGTGCTCGTGCTGAAGTCAGAACTTTCTCAATAAATGACATATCAGCTGGAGAAGCTGGTACTTTCTAGCCTCTGTACTTTTCCAAATCAGTAATGCTTACTTCAAATCTTGTTTTGCTTCACACAGCTGTGCTACAGTGAACCATGTTGGCTCTTAAATCACACCGTGGCCTCTTAAAGCTCTTTGCACGCTTTGAGCTACCGAGAACTCTGTCGGCTTTTAAATCACACTTCGGTCTGTAAAAAAACTTTTCTTTCTGTTCCCTTCAAAAAGGCTGTTTGCTTCTTTTGCCCTCCTAATTGCACAGCATGTCAATTCTAGTTAAATTAAGACCAAAGCACATTCATCATGGAACACAGAACTTGTCTCCTTCCTGAGTGGTATGATGGCTGGACGTTGTGAACAAGGCACGTTCAAATATCTGGAAATTGCATCCAAGGATGAACCAGAACCGTSCAGGTCCACAATTATCTTCCTGATATGTTGGCTGATTTCTTTAGACTTTCCCATGATCTTACACAATGTGGCAGTAGGTGAGCCTTAAATCACATCCACAGGTGTGTCTAATCAACTCAGATGTTATCAATAAACTTATCAGAAGCTTCCAAAGACATCAAATGTCCCAAATTGTTTAAAGGCATAGTAATCGTTACTGTTACTTTTGACTTTGAAGAAAGTAATAAAAATTGCCCAAATCCTTTCTCACATTATTCTGGCATTTGGCAAAAATAAAAGATAGATAGATAGATAGATAGATAGATAGATAGATAGATAGATAGATAGATAGATAGATAGATAGATAGATAGATAGATAGATAGATAGATAG